TTCCATTAGAGGACACTCACCTTGGACTTAATCAATTAAAGAATAGATTGGTAAGCTAAAATGAGTAAACAAAAATGAACAAGTAAAAGAGGCAAGATAAAGCATCTTCGTGTTGCACTGCATGTGTTCGGATCGGACGTTAATTCGAACATGAGGAAAATGGGACGTTTCATACTCAAAGTGATGAAACGTGCCACTTTCCTTGGTCATCACCACCCTTGATCATGCATGATAGGGTAGTGGTTTTGTTGAGTCTTGTTTTGCACTTATTAAGCTTATACAAACTTAGTTCTTTGACCATCATGCATGGAAATGCTTGGTCGATGGTTTGAGGGCCAAGAATTACACTCCTTTGAACTTGTGTAATGATAAGGAGGGTAACAGTATACACAAACCTTGAGAATACAATGCTTTGCCTTTATTTGATCTCTGTTGCAGCAAAAAAAGAAAGTTTGGGAAAGGGGTGGCCGACCGACCACCAGTAGGCCACCAATGGTAGCTGACCGGCCATCAATGAAAAAGTTGCTTAGTGTGTTCCTGAAGAGGAGCAGAGGTGTTATGGAAGTTGGCAGAATCTTCGGTGTTCAAACAAGCGCAAACAGAGGCATCTGATGGCAAAGCGGTGGATTTTCGGGGGGAAGCCAACTAAGCATGCATGCGTCCCTCGCCCTCGAGGTCTTTTAATTACTTTAGATAGCTTAGAATAGCTAGTTAATTAAAGTGTTGTACTTAATTAGTTAGTGTTTTGCTAATTAATTCTGGTTTGTAATATTTAATTAGCTTAGCATAAGTTAGTTAATTCATTTCAATTGTTGTAATTAGTTAGCTTAATTAGCGTAGCTAGTTAGTTAGCTCTTATTCATTTGGACCCTCTTTTGTGAGGGCATAATGTTGTAATAAGTGTGCGTGCAGGTGTGCATATCTTCCAATCCTACGTCTTTCTCCCTTTTATTTAATCGCTTTTGATGGTTAGATTAGGGACATTTTCAATTAGCATACCTTATGCTCACATGTTTGCATCCATTCATTTGTCTTGCATGCACCGAGGCTCAGCTCATCATTCAAACTGCATTGTCATTTCAATACTTCATTGAATTTGTGTTTCAAAGCATGCTATCAAAGTGTTGCAAATGCCATATTAGTAGCCGAGCCTATTAATTGCATATTGCATGTGTTGCATTAGACACTTAACATAGTTAGGATCATGCATCTTTCTAACTAGTTTCTATTTTGGCTTGGAGTACTCGGTAAGTTTTATGCTTTAGCATACTTGCATGAGTGTGATTGCCATATTGACATGTTTTGCATGCTTACCATGAGGCTGTGCTTAAATGCTAAACTGCATGAATGCCTGTGGATGAAGGCTTTGTTGTTTGAATTGGAACGATTCAACAAATGTATGTTTTAAGCCCACTTTGTTGTGGCAAATCATGTTTTTAGCCCACTTGAGGGTGGCAAATTCAAACCATTTTTGCAAACAAACATGAGTTGAATTGTTCCAATTCTTGCAAATTTAGTCTATACTTGTATGTGTGCATCACATAGTAAAGCTAGTTTAATAATTAGAACAAGGACGCATAATGTTTATAAAAGAGCATATCATGATTAGTAGAGGCTGATCTTTGATCGAGCGAGCTGGGATCATGACCTTTCTCCCTCGTACCCAGTTCCCGAGCCGAGGCAACTTTGGTGATGACGGACGCGTGGCCTTTGGCACGAGTTAGGGTTTCCTAAATTTCTCCAAAACAAAATATTTAGGTGGCGACTCTGTAATCTGGCAAAACAGTCCAATTTTGGCATTATTTGATTGAAAATCAATTTTCCAAAAGGTTTGCTAGATTTGGACTCTTTGGTGATTATCAGTTTCACATTGCACTCGTGAGACTAGATTCAGAACCGCGGGAGTCCGAACTGTGAGGCTTTTGTTTTCAAACCCTTTCTGAAAGGCAGAGGCGCTAGAAAAAGGCGAGTCCACACTAAGTTGCGTCAATAAATGGCTTGTTAATTGAGTGGAAACTAAATATGGACGAGTCTTGAGGATGTAACTGGTTTAGTATTCTAAATAGCACCTTTCATTTCAAAAAAAAAAAATTTATGAAAATTATGGATTGCAATGTGTTTTGATGGTGAATGGTATTAGTTGGAATACCTTTTGAGAAAAAAAAACTACATATACACATGAACGATTTTCACTGTTTTACTTTTAAATGCCAGGTTGTATAAAGAATTGGTGATGTTGCTAAGCGTGAGGCTATCTGGGATTATTGTATTGGGTCGTGCATTGTAGTGTATCATTTGTTTTTGCCAGTGTTGGTTGTGTATCTGATTTTATGGTGGTTTTCTTTCCCTTTGAAATTGGATTTTAGTTATTCGGTGGTTGTTGTGTGTGTTATTGTTAGTGGGGAGTTATTGTTGTCCTTGGGAGTACAATGGTTGGTGTTATCCCTTATCTCTTGGACCTCGATGAGTATTTAGGTTGAAAGAGCATTTGTAATTTTTTCCTTGTCATTCTTCTTGTTTAGGTGTCTTTAGGGCACCGAGGTACTAAACCATAATTTGGGAACTTATATTAAGAGACCAACTGCTACCTGAGACACATTGAGGCAAGGGAGAGTCTTCACACTCGTCGCAGGTGACACGCGAAATACTAAAGCCGTTGTCTCATATACTATCTCTATATGTAATCAAGATACTTTTGTGTTAATTGATTCTGGATCAACACATTCCTTTGTGTCTACTACATTTGCATCTAGATTGAATAGACCTTTAGAATCATTGCCATACCTGTTGTGTGTGTCTGCTCCATCTGGGGAGTCTGTGTTGTGTACATATGTGTACCGTGCTTGTGATATGCATATCGGGAGTGTTACCTTATAAGTGGATTTGTTACCTTTGGATATTAGACATTTTGATATAATTTTGGTAATGGACTAGTTATCAAAGTATTGTGCCATTATTGATTGTGTAACAAAACAAGTTATATTTAGACCTCCAGGACATGATGAGTTTGTGTTTGTAGGTAATGATGTAGTACCTCTGCCTTATCTGATTTCAGCAATGAAAGCATATAAACTGCTTAGGAAAGGGTGTTAGGGTTACCTATGTAGTATAATGACTGAGCAACTTATGAATGTTGAATTAAAGAGTATTCTTGTTGTTAGAGAACTTTCGGATGTATTTCCTGATAAATTGCCAGGGGAATTGGTTGACTGAGAAATAAAGTTTACTATTGATGTTGTACCAGGCACCCAACCTATCTCAAAAACTCCTTACATAATGTCTATTGTTGAAATGAAAGAGCTGAAAGAACAATTACAAGATTTGTTTGATAAGGGTTTTATTAGACCGAGTACTTCGCCCTGGGGTGCACCGGTATATTTTGTGAAAAAGAAGGATGGGACTTCACGATTATGTATCAACTACCAGGAATTGAATAAGGTAACGATCAAGAACAAATACCCTTTGCCATGTATTGATGTTTTGTTTGATCAATTGCAAGGATCACAAGTATTTTCGAAAATTGATCTGAGATCCGGGTACCACCAATTGAAAGTAAAAGCAGAAGATGTCGAGAAAATCGCATTCTGGACAAGATATGGTCACTACGAATTTCTTGTTATGCCATTTGGAGTGACTAATGCACCTGTAGCATTTATGGATCTTATGAATCAAATTTGTAAGTCCTATCTTGATGAATTTGTCATGGTCTTTATTGATGATATTTTGATATATTCAAAGAGTAGAACTGAACACAAACAACACCTAAGAACTGTTTTGCAAACACTTAGAGAAAAGAAGTTATTTTCTAAACTAAAGAAATGTGAATTCTGGTTAGATGACGTTGTGTTTCTAGGCCATGTTATTAACAAAAATGGAATTTCAGTGGATCCATAGAAAATTGAGGCAATTGTGAACTGGCCTACATCGACAAATGTAACGGAAGTTTGAAGCTTCATGGGTTTAGCAGGGTACTACAGACGGTTTATAAAAGACTTCTCCAAGATAGTTGTGCCATTTACCCAACTAACATGCAAGGGACAAATATTTGAATGGAATGATGAAAGGGAATCTGCCTTCCAAGAATTGAAGACAAGATTGATTATTGCACCAGTTTAACATTGCCCTCAAGTACGGAAGATTTTGTGATATTTAGTGATACTTCTTACAAAGGTTTAGGTTGTGTTTTAATGCAAACCGAAAGAGTGATTGCTTATGCCTCCCCGATAATTGAGACCACGTGAAAAGAATTACCCAACGAATGACCTATAATTGGCTGCAGTTGTGTTTGTTTTAAAAATTTGGCAACATTACCTGTATGGGACGAAATGTGAAGTTTACAAGTATCCCAAAAGTTTAAAGTACTTCTTTACCTAAAAAGAATTGAACATGCGGCAAAGATGATGGCTCGAGCTGATAAAAGATTATGATCTTCAGATTCAGTATCACCCGGGAAAGGCCAATACAGTTGCCGATGCCTTGAATAGAAAATTAATGGGGAACTTAGCTTGCCTACTCACTAAACAAAAAGACCTTCTGCAAGACTTTAAAAGATCAGAAATTGAAGTGTTATTATATGAACAGAGTGGAATGATAGCCGCCATTATAGCTCAGCTGGCAGTTATTGATGAGATCAAGCAAAGGAAAAAGGAGGATGAATTCCTCAAAAAGGTGATTGATGAGTTTTAAGTGAATCCGAAACTGGGGTATAGTGTTGAGAATGAAGTGTTAAAATTTCGGAATAGATTGTATGTTCTGAACATCTCTAATTTAAAGAAGAGAATTCTAGATGATGCCCATAAGTCGAAATTTGCCATGCATCTGGGTAACAACAAGATGTATCGAGACTTGAAACAAAACTACTGGTGGCCTAATATGAAATGGGAAATTGCAGAATATGTATGCAAGTGCCTCAGTGTCAGCAAGTCAAAGCTGAACACCAGAAACCAGCCGGTCTACTTTAACCTCTCCCTATTCCAAAATGGAAATGAGAGCATATAACTATGGATTTTATTGTTGGTCTTCCTCGAACTCTGAGAGGTATGAACTCTATATGGGTTATTGTTGATAGACTGACTAAATATGCACATTTTCTTCCTGTTAGAACTAGTTATGATGCATATAGATTGGCTATCATTTATATTGATGAAATTGTTTGTCTATATGGAGTGCCGGTGTCTATTATGTTGGATGGAGATCCGAAGTTTGTATCTAGATTCTAGAAAAGTTTATAATGGGCAATGGGAACAAAACTGGTTTAGCACTGCATTCCATCCATAAACTGATGGGAAATCAGAACGGACCATACAGACTCTGGAAGATATGCTCAGAATGTGTGCCTTGGATTTTTAGGAGAGTTGAGAGGACTACTTACCGTTGGCCGAATTTGTGTATAACAATAGTTTCCACTCCTATATTTGTATGGCATCGTATGAAGCCTTGTATGGCAGAAAATGTACATCTCCAATATGCTGGATTGAAGTTGGGGATGGAATCTTACTTGGGCCCGAGATTGTACAGACGACTACTGAAAAGATCAAAGGTATTCAGCAAAGGCTCAAAACTACTCAGAGTCGACAAAAGAGCTATGCGGATGTTAGAAGAAGGCCACTCGAGTATGAAGTTGGCGACCATGTCTTTATTCATGTCATCCCGATGAAGGGCCAGTCAAGATTTGGTAAGAAGGGTAAATTGTCACCCTTTTACATTAGGCCATTTCAAATTCTGGAGATACTTGATCCAGTTGCTTATAGAGTTGTTTTACCGCCGGGTATGGAACAAATGCACAATGTGTTCCATGTGTCAATGTTGAAGGGCTACCTCTGGGATCCATTTCATGTTATAGACTACCACTGGATAGCTCTTAATGAGAATATGGAATATGAAGAATGGCATGAACTGATCATTGACTGACAAGTGAAATAACTGAGAAACAAATCCATTCCAATGGTGAAAGTGGAATGAAAAGAGCATTATGGAAGGAAAGCCATGTGGGAAAAAGAAGATGAGATGTGAAAACAGTAGCCACATCTATTTCCAATAGAAGGTAACATAAGCTTGGAGGACCAAACTTCCTAATGGGTGAAAGAATGTGACAACCCCATTCTGTGTTATGCCGTTAATCTTTAATTATACTTGTGATTCTATTCTTAATGTGAATTTAGATGCTAATCATGTGATTATATTTGTTTTTGAATTCATATCTATCCATTGTAGGAAAATCTGTTTTGTATTCCGTTATGATCAGAAATTAAAGGCCGTAGTGGCAACAAAAATCAAAATTGACTGTACCATTATGATTAGCACAATTTTTGGAGCCTATGGTGTAATTTAATTAAAAATTGATTCGGATCAAAATAATTAGATTAATTTAATTTAATTAAGCCTATTTGATTAATCTTAAACCTTGATTAACCAATTAGATTAGTCAACCATATATATATATATATATGTTGTAATGTGCTTAAGCACATATTACAAGATCAAAAATTTTGAAAATATACACCATAGAGAGAGGGGAGTGAGAATTAGAGAGAGATTGAGCACATTCTTGAAGGATTGAACTCAAGTTTGGAGATTTGAATAGCTAGATTCAAGAATTAACTAGCATTTCATTGCTCAAGCAGTCATTCTCTCGAGCCACGTTTTGGTCGCTCGAGCCAATGTTTACAGACTACAAAAATACTGGATGCTCGAAATGTGCTCTTGAGCCACCTTTTGGTCGCTCGAGTGGTCTGTCGAATTTTTGAAATTTCCAAAATTTTGTTTTGAACTCTAAACACATATCCAAGAGTCCAATTCATGCATGGCTAGTCCAAGAACTTGTAAACATGTAGTTAGACATAAACAATTGATGAATTACATGTCTCATACTCAAAACTTCATAAATTATCAAATTGAAACCCAAAACTCCCATGCATGTATGATTTAGTTTAAATTCTTGTTCTATGATCTTCAAAGCATGGAATTAAGTTTCATAACTTTATAATTCATGAATGCATGTTAGTGACAACTTTCATTTGAACATAATCATCATGGTTTATGCTCAAATAAGGGAAATCATAGCAATTTTATACGTGTATGCATTCATTGATCTTTATTATACATAACGACCTTGGGTCCATTGTTCTCGCTATTATATAGATCTTTATTAGACAAAACTAACTTAGATATGATTAATTTATGTCTATGGTCAATGGTAATCTCGTGATTACTGGCCGGTTATGACCCTAACCTTTAGGGGTTGGTTCAGGTTGTGACAAGTGGATTCTCACTTTAAAAAATAACCTTTCAGGGTGTGGGATTGGGAGTCTTTTTACTAGTTTTTGGGCAAGTCATTTGATTTCAAATGAGATTAAGCAATGAAGAGTTCCTTTAGTTCGCGCATTGTTTCCACCAGAAATGGTAAATCACATTCTTCATATTTACCTTCCTATTGGACATGTTTCGAATCGAATTATTTGGAAAGCCACTAAAAGTAGGGAATATTCGGTAAAATTTGGCTACCTTTCTGCTGTGGGGATTGAGAACAGTCAAAATAGTGTGGGAGCAGAATCTTGGGTTGAATTTTGGAGGCATCTCTGGAAACTTAACATCCTATCCAAGTGGTCTCTTTTTGTATGGAAACTAGTCTACAGAATTCTGCCCATAAGAGCATTGCTGTTATGAAGAGGAATAATTCTGCAAGCTATGTGTCCTTTTTGTAAGAAGGCGGACGAATCTCTTGAACATTTTTGTTTTCAATATCTAAATATGTTTGGTGAGGATCATGGTAAGGACTGGATTGTGATATAGGGAAGGAGTTGCAGGTTCAAGAGTGGTTTATATGTTGGTTCAATACTGCACCTGATAAGGCCGCTATTATTGAGGCCATTAAGGTATTGTGGAGCCTATGGCCTTTTTGAAATAGAGCATGCTTTGATGGGGTGATGGTTCATCCTTTGGTAATTATAGGTTTTATACCCGCCCTAAATTACAATCTTAAAAGGTATATCTAGCAACCTTCAGAATGTGAAAATTGGGGCAACAGGGTCAATTCTAGTAATCAACGGGCCAATCAAGAAGTTAATTGTTTTGTTGTTTCTAATCAATCTCAATGGTATGCAGATGGAATTTTACAAATTGCTTATTGATGGAGCTTGGCAGCAACAATCTTTGCAAGTAGCTGCAACATGGGTTGGATTGGATGATAATTGTTAAATGTCGACTGCCCTTTTTAGCTCCTTCCCCACTTGTTGCGGAAACTCGAGCATGTTTAGGAGCGTTAAAATGGTGCTGGCATAATCATAACAAATTCACTGATAGCCAAGAATTAGTATGCCAATTAAATTAAGAGGTTTTGGTGGATTGAGATTTACAAGTACTATTAGACAATATTAAGCATATATGTAAGTCTTTTGACTATGTCTGTATATGTAAGGTGCCTAGGTCAAAAGTCAATTTAGCCTATATGAAAGCTCGTAGAGCTTCTCTATGCAGAAACATGTTTTTGTAATCTTGTACTATGCTTTTGTATGCTTGGTTTTAAATATTAGTTATTCAAACAAAAAATAGCTCATGGCACGTGGTTATTGTAATGCCCTGAAATATCATACATGAACATACCACAACCACGCATAGCAAAATACAATGAAGTCATATTTCTCAGTGAACTAAGGTTCAGAATTATAATTCCAAGGTCTACATATTGATTACACTTCATATTCATTACCAAGTTCAATAAGCTAGAGGACAGCACAAAAGAAATTTGCCTTAAAGGCTTACAAATTCAAAGCGTTGCTTCTTTACAACAACATAAATTCAAAATTCTTGACACAAAAGCTTTAAGTCTCCACAATTAAATATCCTTGAGCCACTGCTCCCAACAAAACAATAATGCATACTCCAAGTCATTGCTGTGGTGGCACATCACTAGTCCCTGAAATGTCAGATAGGGTTGAGCTATATGCCCAGTAGAGCTACATTTAACAAAGATCTAATCATTTGAACACTTACACGGCATAATTGTAACTCAATACAAATCAAATTGAACAATTAAAATTTAGAATAATAAATGAAACAAACTTGTTTACTGCGAAACCTTTATCAACACAAGAGGTAAATAAGTCATGAATCCCTTGCAAGAGTCCATCGTACATATACTTATATCATTATAGTTGAAATTATCTCCATATTTACCGACTACAATACAACAGGACGTAAGCACCCAAAATCATCCGTTTTTCCATTTTTACCGACTCTAATACTATAAGGCCAGTGGACACCTAAAAATCCTTTTCTACATTCATTTGGTAATAAGCTCAAGACAGGGCAATTGGGCACCTGACGCCCCGCATGAGTACCAACATGACACAAAATTCTCAAACCTGACTCTCTATAGCACTCAAGAAATTTCTTTTTCCTTTTCTCATCGCTCGAGCAATGGACTAGTCGTTCGAGTGGTCTCGCGAAGCTCCCAGTACTTTTGCAGGTCTAAGATTCTGAGAGTTGTCGATTTTCGCTCGAGCGCAGGATTGGTCGCTCGTGCAGATTGCCTTATCTGGTTTGAACTTCTGGGAGTTCGTATTGTTCGTTCGAGTGAAGGATTGGTCGCTCGAGTGAAGTGTCTGAATTCAACACATTTAAAAGTCACTTTCGGTCCACTTTTTCTTTATTCTCTCTTGCCCTTTCTCTCTTTTCTTTCTCCTTTCCACTATTGTTATGGTTTTCAAGCTTTCAAGCTTTGTTTTCATCTATTTTCTTTCATTTTCTACCCCATGTTCCTTATATAAAAATGAAGAGCGCATCGAGGGCTTTCTATCCATCGAAGCGGATCGCGTTTTCATTGAAGTTGAAATTTTGGGTATCTTCTCTTCTTGCTAGAGGTAGGGATTTTCTTTGCTTCTCATTAATATACTCTCTTAGATAGATGGGTGGTAAATTTCTATTGCATAAAAACCTCTTTTTGAGGAGATTTTTACAAGCACATGTAAAGGAAGTTAGGGTTTTTAATTTATGGACATTAAATGTGAAATTGAGAAGGATGATGAAAGTGTGTAGTTGTTAAAATATGAAATTGTGTTTTAAGGTTAAAAGCCCTAAAATTTGGTGTAACCCTAGTTATGGATTTATTTTAAATATGAGAAATTGCCTCAATTAACTTTAATTTCATGAAATTGAGAGTATGATTGGAATAAATTAGTACTTGTAATGAGACTAAACTTGTTGCTAGAATAATAATAATAGGATACCAAGGTTGTGCTTGGAAAATTAAAATCTGGAAATTTGGAGAAGTGTATGAAAATAATTGTGTTGTATAATTGAATATTAAAATTTGATGTTAATGTAGAGAAGTAAATGAGGAAATGGAACACAAGAATTGTGATTATTTCTAAAGATAAACCTTTATTCTTACGGTGGATGTGTTGTTAGACTAATGTGTAACGGAAGTAATGAATGATGTTGTTGGTTCTGTCGAAACTGTAATAAGGAATAACATGATGAATTGATGAATGGTGATATTGGAATAAGGGTCCGTTTCCTTTTGGCTTGTGACAGGTAAAGCATTGCGCTTAATAGAGGTTTTGCCTTTCTTTCGGAGTAGCGCCTGGTAAAACGTGTGGTCTGTTGAGATATGTTGAGGGTCTGTTTCCTTCTGGTTTGTGACCGATAAAAGTGTGGCACTTGATAGAGGTTTCTCCTTTCTTCTGAAATAGTGTCCTGTAAAGCATGAGGTTCCACATTCCTTCCAGAGTAGCGCTTGGAAAAGTATGTGGTGTGATAATGTGGCTTGGTAATGCAGCCGATTTCTATTTGGACTTATGTGAAATAATTATAGTGAGATCTATATGTGTGATTGTGATAATGAGAAATGAATAAGTTAATTGTGTAAAGTTGGACAGATGAAATTGAGTTGATGCATTTTATGTGGGTTA